ATGGCTCAGTAAAGTGAATCCTCAAGGGCATTTTGTGAGAACTGGCTCCAGTCTCGAGTGCGGCAGCAGGTAGAAACTTAGATTTTTGCGATTTCCCGCAAGTCGTAGGGGCCTAGTGGTACACGCGTTCATATTTAGGGGTATCACCCAAAAAACTATTGCCACGGAATTGATTCTCATCCAAGAGCGCTCAATTTTTTTAAAGGGTAGTCCAAATAAAGTGTTCTGTACTGGCGCTCCTTTATAAAAGATATCCTGTTTGTGCCTTACACTGTAGCTCATTTTGAGAAGAATAGGATTATCAGATTGGACCATCAGATTGGTTGTGCAAAGGTAGGTCTCGTCTAGACTGACTATACGATACCAAAACGTTTACGCTAAATAGGAAGATACGTTAAAGCGCTGAATGCAAAGTGTAAAATAAGTTTAGCTTCAACCCTCGGTAGTGAGCTAAAAGAATAGGAAAATTCAGACTGAGACTATTGTCTATATGCTCCGATTTAATCACTCACTACGTCGGTCTAGATTTATTTATGTTTTAGTTACTAAGATCAGATACTATTTCATTAGACGCATAAAACTATAATTCAAACAGCGAAACAATCCTCCAATCCAATTACCTAATGAAATAAAACTCTATGCCTAACTTTTAAAGAAAAGTAGAACAAAAATCAAAACCAAGCTGGTGCAGTATACACCTGCACCTAAACCTCATCGCTTGGTACCTAGCCCTCATCCCATTTAAGGCACAGACTGGCACGTCTGATTAGCGTTTTGCAAACAAAAATCAACTCCTACCTGGACCGAATAATCACATATTCTATTTTATGTACCGTATTTGTGGTACAAAAGATAAGGAAATAAAGTACATGCAAGTATGCACATATGAGCTACAATAACTAAGTTAAATGAGGGTGTGGCGTACATTAGCGATGGGCGTTGTTGGACTAAGCCACTCATAGAACCACTACTTGTCGCTGTGCCTGTGTAGTAAAACACGCTTCGATAACTATATCTCATCGTACTCCCCTCTACAGAGGTTAGTCGTTGATTATTTATTGAATATCTTTGGTTCATAAAACCACGTGTTTATTTGATCAGAAATATTGATCAAATAAACCCTAAACCTAGTTTACAAATTATGTCAAAATAAACCTAATAACCTAAGCCTGTATTCCTGATCACAACCCCTCCCAAGCTTAAGCATACAACGTTGTGCAAGCTTTAAAGAAGTAAAAGAATACTTACAAGGTAACGGGACGCTATTTTTACCTCCATGAACAAGAGGGATCCACTGTCATTTATCCTCTGAGAGCTAGAGCCTTCGCTGGCATTTAACCTCTGAGAGCTAGAGGGTTCGGCCTATCGTCACCGTATAGCATGGTGTCAAGTATGAAACCCGAAGTGGGTGCTGGTTAGTATTCAAATAGCGGCGCGTTGGCGCTTACGCGCACGGGTCTGTGAGTCCTTATGGTAAGCGACAATATCGTTCACGTCGTTAAAGGCCTCTGCAATTTCCCACGTCGGTTCGCCTTCCCGCCACCGGACCAAATATTCCAACGCACCGGTCTCATCATTGGTGCGGTGCTTAATACTATGTCTGAAGGATTCACCATCATCCTGCCATAAGTGCCTTGGATGTACGGCCCTACGATTTCACCATTACTACGTCGCCTGGGTCGAAGTGAACCAGATCATTGGCGTGCAGCCGATCAAATGTCTTAGTCAGTTGGTCTGTATACTTCATTGTAATCCTGTAGAGTGTAGGCAGTATCGTGTCTTGTAGTTGATCAAGACGCTGGGCCCAAGAATCATTCGTAACTGGTAAGTTAGATGACGTGTCGTACGTAAAATCGGGAAAGGGGACCCGCCGACGACCGAAGTATACGCTAAAGGGTGCACTTTTGTGCCGGCGAGAAACTCTAAGGTTCTGATACAACATGGTAAACGAAAGCCGTTCATCCCATGCTTAGGGAATCGCCTAGCAGCAAATACGGATCGATCGGACTATGTCTTTGTGACGACGTTCGGTGGCTCCCAGTACCTGTGGACGGTATGGTTGAGAGACTACAGTAGTAGACGTATTTATATATACGTTAATAACGTTTTACGTCGTCAGCCCGAGAGTGATTTGGGACTTGTTCTCAAATTAATATAAGTATAGGTGGGTCAGCCCGAGAGAACGTAAGAGTAATTTGAGACTTCTTCTCAGATTATTCTATTTATAGAATACGGACCACCGGCTAGCCGAGAGTCGAGGTCCGAGACTGAGTGTATTATCAGAGAAAATGATATATTTAATTCTAGAAAATATATCCGAATGCTAAAGTGTTCTGCATAAGGTTTCTCATACTGATCATATGAGTTTTTACCCTGGCCAACCCAAATGGTTGAACACTAGTACAAACACCATCAGTATAAAACTGAGGGTGAGATCATAAATAAATCCATTCGAATGCTGTAATAAAAGTCCCCTTAAACCACTATCAGTGTGGAGTTAGAATTAGTATACAATTAATTCACACGAGGTGAATTATTTGTAGACCACGTAGACAATCAAATATAAGAATAAATACACCGCACTGAGCCTCGGGGAGACTCAGTAGG